CTGAAGTTGCTACAGAATAGATTGGAAAGTGTAAGATATATTATAATAGATGAGAAAAGTATGGTTGGCCACTGAATACTTGGTCTTATTGATATGCAGCTTCAGCAGGCTTTTCTCGAAAATAATAATAAACCCTTTAGTAAGAGGTCAGTTATTATGTTTAGAGATTTCAGCCAGCTCCCGCCTGTACTTGATCTCCTGATGTACACAAAAGTTTTACGAGATTCACTTTCTAACAATGGTCTTGCCGCATACATCCTATTTAAGGAGGTGTATAAGCTTGATGTTGTTCAACGCCAATTCAGAAATTCTCAAGAGCAACAAGACTTTAGATTTCTCCTCTTAAGATTGCGCGATAGAGAGTCTACTTTAGCTGACTGGAGGACTCTTACCACATGATCAGTGTGTGATTTTAGCAATGCGGTCATGTACGCTTGCATATGACTGATGATTTTCCGCATATAATACTTTTTTAATATATGCGTAAATTCGCACTGCGCACAAATTCCACACAATTGTAAATTTTCGCACAATTCTACACAGTTACGCACAAAATCCCGCACAAATTCTGCACTATGAAATTATCATTTCAAATTATCTAATTTTTATTTAAAAAAAATTTGAACTAATTACAAATTATGGATAAATTTTTAGGCTTTAATGATAGATGATCAGAAACTCCTACTAGTTTCATAAGCGGCTCAAAAATTCCTGGTGGTCTATCTAAAATTAAAAGAAAAAATAAAGATAAGAATACTCCAGCAGTTAAAAAACTAAAAACTGCAGCTGCTCTAAAAGAACAATAACATACTATACATGGTGATTGGCTAGTATATCGAGAGGTTAATGGGAAAGTTTTTATGTTTGTACCTAGTGTGAGAAAGCAGGCTATAATAATTAAATGGTTAAAGGATGTGATACTTATAAAAAAGATTTAGTCGATAGACATATTAAGAATCAGGAGTATACACTTTTGGAAAAAGCAAGAAAAACAAATCAGCCAAATATAATGCAAAGCTTATCTAATTGTTTAACTAATAACAAGGAAAAAATAATTAACCAAATGAAATGCATGTATTTTGCGGCTAAAAATCATCTTTCACTAAACCTTTATCCCAAATTATGTAATTTAGTACTAAATCTTCAAAAATTACTACACCACAACTTCTTCAACTTCCTTCTCTTTCTTCTTTAAATCCACCTGCTGAAACTTCTCAATATGGATCATATAATAATTCAAAATATGCTCGAAAATTTGAAGAAGCAATTTTTTATATTATAGAAAAAGCATTGATTGATGAAATTAAGGCTTCTGAGTGATGAAGTATTTTAATTGATGAATCAACTGCAATAATGATGAAAAACACTTGATAATTGTTTCAAAACATATAGCAAATAATGTGCCAGTATTACGTTATTTAGGATTGATAGAACTTAACGATTGCAATGCTAATAATATTACAACACAAATAAAAACCTTTTTAAATGAAAAAGGTTTGCAAATTGAAAACATTGCTCATTTTGGAAGTAACGGTGCTTCTGTTATGACAGGTTAGTTGTAAATTATAATGAAAATAATTTAATATATAATTAGTTAATTCATATGATTATTTTTTTATTTAGGAAATATTAATGGTGTAATAACACAATTGAAAAAAGAAAATCCTTTCATGACTTCTGTTCATTGTATTGCACATAGACTTCATTTAGCTGGCCAAGATGTTGCAAAAGAAGTAGCATATTTTAAAAAATATAAAGTTATTTGTAAACAATTATATGAATATTTCAGTGGATCATATAAACAAATGCAAAATTTAAAGCTTATGCAAAATATTAACAAAGATCCACAACTTATCATATTGAATATTATTAATACAAGATGGTTATCTATGTCGAATGTTATACACAATCTCCATCAAGTTATTTTTTCAGTTATTGATGCTTTTAATAATGACATGATCAATACAGACAATCCTAAAGATAGGACTCAGGCTTCTCAATTAGTTAATAATCTTGATCCAGAATTTATTATATCAACAATGTTCTTAGCAGATTTAATGTATATTTTATCAAAAATGATCAAGATTTTTCAACGTAATCATGTAGATCTTTTGGAATTAAAGCATTCTTTAGAAATGACTATTTCAGCCATCAAAGCGCAATTTATTAGAACTGAAGAAGTTTCTCTAACATACAAAACAATTCTATATAAATATATAGAAGATAATAATATTCATTCTAACAGTATACCTTCTTTTATTTTAAAATTTTTTGAAGCAATTATTAGAGCCTTAAAAAATCGATTTCCAGATTCAGAAGTTTACAATACGCTAAGAATTTTCGATCCCAAATTTTTACCTCAGAGAGAAAGTGATATTGCATATTATGAAAATAATGAAATTAAAATTTTGTAAAATATTATGAAAATGATCGTTTTACAGCTACTGGTGAAAAATTTCCTGCATATTTTAATGAAGTAAAATTAAATCAAGAATGGGAGATAGTTAAGCAAATAATGAAATCAATCTGTGATTTTGATTTTGTAAAAGGATAGGAACATATATGGAATATAAAACCACATTTTATTAATGATTACCCATTAATTTCTAAACTTATTAGGATAGTCTTGTTAATTTCTCTTTCTAATGCTCATGTTGAACGGGTATTTTCCTATCATAAATTAACCAAGTCTAAATTAAGGAATCAGATGAATCATGAAACATTAAATATGCAATTGATGATATTTTCGAATAGACCTGATTATTTTCGTGATTTTGATTAGGATAGCACATATAATTATTAGGCAAATCAATATATTCGACGAGCTAATGAATCTAATGAATAGAAAATATTTATATATTTGAATATTTTACATAATATTTTTTTTAAATATATTTAAACATTTTGTATAGTATTTTTTGTAAATATACTTGAACATTTTATGTAATATTTTTTTGTATTCAATTAATAAAGACATTTATACATTATAAAACCTTGGTAAATTTAATTAAAAAATTTTTTTGTGTACAGTTGAAAATTATTTGTGTATCATTGTGTAACATCTGTGCACTACCTAGCGCAATTTCTGCATATAATTCCATCATATAGTGTGCGCCTTCCACACATGTGTATAGGTTTGAAAATCATATACTGCACACGATTCGAAGAAAGATTAAATAAAACAGAATGTAGTAAATTTTCTGATGCCACGTTCATCCTAATGAAATAGATTGACATTGATGCAATGAATATAGATTGACTCAGGTCTTTAAACGTTCTTGTTGCCAGGATTCTTGCTATACACACAGGCGACAACAAAGCCAAAAAAGCAGATTCTGATATTGCACATAGTCTTGAAGCACAATTATTGTTAGCAAGAGGTGCATGTATTATGTTGACATCAAATTTGTGGACAGAAGCTGGCTTGGTCAATGGTACACTGGGAATCGTCCAGGATATTTTGTTTAGAGAGGATCAAGAACCACCTTTTCTTCCTATAGCAGTTCTCATTTCATTTGAAAATTATAAAAACCTCATTATTGTTACCTTAGAAGGTACAAAAGTTATTCCAATTGCATCCATTTGACGTATTTAGGAGAACAAATTCAGAACATTATATTCACGCTTACAAGTTCCTATTCGTCTTGCATGGGCTATTACTGTACATAAAAGCTAGGGACTTATACTACAAAAAACTGTAATAAATCTTAGTGATAAGGAGTTTGCGGCTGGCCTTTCATTTGTGGCGATATCTCAGGTCCGCACCATGAAAGATATTTTCTTTCAACCTTTCAATTTTGAAAAACTCTAGCGCATTAAAGATTATAGAAGGTTGCAAGAAAGGAAAATTGAAGAAGAGCGACTAGTTTCAATGATACCTAGAAATTGACATAAGTTGTAAGAAGCATATAATAACTTGTTTCAACAATAAAACTTCA